GCTGATATTTACACCTCTGTTAGTGTAGGTGAACAGGTGTTTGCAGGGTGTAAGTTAACCACTGGTTTGATTGACTTTTTTTTTTTTGACATTTTGAAAGATTAATTAATTTATTTTTACTTATGTGAAAGGAAGAGAGAGCACAGGCAAGATGTTCCATGTGCTCATCCGCTCCCCAAATGCCTGTGACAGTGAGGGCGGGGTCCTGCAGGAGCTAGACAGAAGTTCAGAACTCAGTGCGGGTCTTCTATGTGGTTGTCAGGGACCCAAGTGCTGGAGTTATCATCTTCTGCCCCTCAAACCACCTTGGCAGGAAGCTGGATTGAAAACCTAGGTGGTGCTTGATCTTTGGCACTGTGGTATGAGATGTGGGTGTCCCAAGTGGAGGCTTAAGCCACTCTGTCCTAATATCTGCCCCTGCTTGACTTCAGTGAATGATTTGGAAATAATTTTGTCACAATCATAGGGTTGCTGCCGCGCACACACCCCAGGGAGGAGGAGAAAGATCCACAGTGTCTGAGCTCTATTTATAGGGAAGACTCGGATTAAAGGACTTGTTCAAGGGCAGAGTTGTAATGAATAGTGGAGAACACATACTGACAAATGTGCTTGTCTCTTCCCCTGCTTGTTTGAGTAGCGGCACCCTCCCTCTTCCATTACCCCACCATCTGTCAGAGGGTGGGCATGTCAGAGTATCTTTTCTATACCCTGTGCCAGGCATCAGAACCATGTCTGAATCTTTCCTTTTAAAACAGGGGAGGGTAGCGCTTTCTTTGATTATTTGTCAGAGAGCTGCTTCCTTTCTGTTCTGCCTCCTGGAGGTGTTCCTTTCCCGATAGCATGCAACCTTTCATTTCTGTGGCTTGTCCCTGCCTCCTCCCACCTGTCCCATCCATGAGGATAGGGGCTTGCTCATTGTCTTTCTCCTCGACTCCTGGGGCGGTGTGTGCTGTGTACACATCAAGTTCGCATGTGGTGTATAGTTGCTGAGAGATGAGTGACTCAGGCTATGAGAATGTGACCCTGGAGCAAGCACATGGCGTGTGACAGCTTCACTTTCTCCTCCCCCTGCCTCTCCATAGCCTGCCAAGATGGTAGGAAGAGCAGAGCCTGTGCCTGGGGACCCAGCGCCTCTGCTTCTCCCTGTGAGGAACTTTGGGGTGCCCTTGGCTGGTGCCTGGTAAGGACAGTGCTGCTGGTCAGCTGTTGTGAACCTCCAGCTGCCTCAAGTTGTTAGAGCTGCTTGAAGACAGGGGAGTGAATACGCGAGCAAGGTGACTGCTCTGCCACAGCCACTTTGCATCTCCTTAGCAAAGTTTCCTAACCTTTCTGTGCCTCAGTCTCATTGTCCATAAAATGAGGATGACTTCATAGGGTTGTTCCTTGAATTAAATGAGACAATGCCCGTGAAACTTTGAGCTCAGGTACGTGCTGAGTGCTGTTATGGCTGGCTGTCAATGTGTATGCTGCTAAATAAATGCTATGTATGTCACATGGCTCCTGCTGTTTCTAGATCAGCTTCCTCTGTCCCTCCCGCGGCCAGTGCAGTGCACGTCATGGATGGGGCGTTTTGGAGGGAGGTGGAGTGGAAGCACAGGAGGTCTGGGGGAGGCCAGCCTGTTAGCCTGCTTGTTCACGGTGGTGGCAGGCTGCTTTGATGTGACACTGGGGGATGCTCTTGGTCGCTTGCTTTATTTGATCCTGTAGATTTTCACAGAGGAGAAAAAAAATTCAGAGACTTTAGCATCACAGCAGTTTCCCCAGAAAACCAAGCTCTGCCCAGCAGGGATGGACTCTCCTGAGACAGAGCGCCATGTGTGCTGGGAGCTGAGAGGTCGACAAGTGAGTCTTGCTTGGGGCTCCAAGGAGCAAGGCAAAGCTGGAGCACCCACACCGTGTTGGATTTAACTCCTTGTAAAAGGCGGTGGAAAGCATTTCCCATAGAATAGTCTGTGGTATAGTCTTTCGCCCCCTTTGCAAGGCGAACTAGGCCTGCGGACTATAGGCGAGTGGGTCCTTTGGGTTTGGTCCTAACTGGTTGGATGAAATAAAGTATTTTTTAAGTAATCTGTGTAGCCCAGTGAAATATAAAATAGTTTCCATAAAAAGCAAATATGGAACATGACCAAGGATTTGCAAAAGATTATTTTTTGCTGCTCTCAAGCTCGGTGTAGGAGAATAGGAAAACAATGCAAGCAAGCTGGAAGGTGGCAGTGCTTTGCGAGTTGTAAGTTCTTGTTTGCCTTAAAGAAAGAAAAACTGGGAATTGGAGAGAGCACGTTAGAGCTCTGGTTAATGCAAGGAAGGAAACGAGGAGTTAACAGTATAAGAGAAGAGCTTTATCCAGAAAGTCGCCAGGTACATGTACCTTGGTATCGTGAACTCTTTATAGCACATAATACTTTGTGCACATATATTACTATAGACATATTAATACCATGTATTAATCTGTTACATGAATATGGAATATTTTAAAGGTAGTTGGGTCCCTGACATCCGTGCAGGACAAGTGGATGGAGTTATGGTTTGGGCCTGGCCTAGCCCTGGCTGTTGTAGTCAGTCACTGGGGAGGGAGCCAGCAGATAAAACACTGTATGTGTGTCTGCCTCTCTCCATGTATCACTCTGCCTTTGAAATAAATCAAAACTTACTTATTTGAAACACAGAATGACAGAGAAAGGGGGAAAGCAGAAATCTTCCATCTGGTGGTTCACTCCCCAAATGAGTGACAGTTTTACCCACTATGCCATAGCACTAGCTCCATAAATCTTTTTTCTATTTTTTAAAGATTTATTTTATTTGTATTGGAAAGTCAGATATACAGAGAGAAGGAGAGACAGAGAAGATCTTCCGTCTGATGATTCACTCCCCAAGCAGCCTCAACAGCCGGAGCTGTGCTGATCCGAAGCCAGGAGGCAGGAGCCAGGAGACTCTTCCGAGTTTCTCACGTGGGTGCAGGGTCCCAAGGTTTTGGGCCGTCCTCTACTGCTTTCCCATCCAGGGGCCTGGCGTGGTAGCCAAGCTGCTGAAGTCCTTGCCTTGCATGCGCTGGGACCCCATATGGGTGCCAGTTCTAATCCTGGCGGGCCTGCTTCCCATCCAGCTCCCTGCTTGTGGCCTGGGAAAGCTCAACAGGCTGATCGTCCACTTGCAAGTGTCAGCATCCTGTATGGGTGCTGATTCGTGTCCCTGATGCTCCACTTCTGACCTAGTTCCCTGCTTGTGGCTTGGGAGCGCAGCAGAGGAAGACCCAGGTCCTTGAGTCCCTGCACTCGCATGGGAGACCTGGAAGAATCTCCTCCTGGTTTCAAAAGATCCACTCAGCTATGGCCATTGCAGCCATTGTGAGGAGCAAAGGAGCAAATGGAAGATCTTTCACTTGCTATCTCTCCTTCTCTCTGTAATTCTCCCTTTCAGTTAAAAGTAAACAATTTTTTTTTTTAATGAACTTTCTGGGGCCAATGTTGTGGCTCAGTGAGGTAAGCCATTGCCTGTGCTGTCGGCATCCCATATGGATGACAGTTAAAAGTCCCAGCTCTCACTTCTGATCCAGCTCCCTGTTAATGCACCTAGAAAAGCAACAGGAGATATCTTAAGTACTTGGGCCCCTGCAACCCCTCTGGTTGTTGCTGCTGAAGCTCCTGGCTCCTGTCCTCAGCCTGTCCGATCCCTGATTGCTGTGATCATTTGGAGAGATATCCATCACCCTCTGCCTTTTAAAGAAGCCTTTTTGAAAAAATGAATTTGGGGCCTGGCGCAATAGCATAGTGGTGAAGGTCCTTGCCTTGAAAGTACCGGGATCCCATATGACCACTGGTTCTAACTCCAGCAGCCCCACTTCCCATCCAGCTCCCTCCTGTGGCCTGGGAAAGCAGTGGAGGACGGCCCAAAGCCTTGGGACCCTGCACCCGTGTGGGAGACCCAGGGGAGGCTCCTGGCTTCTGGCCTTGGATTGGCTCAGTTTCAGCTGTTGTGGTCACTTGGGGAGTGAACCATTGTACAAAAGATCTTCCTCTCTGTCTCTCCTCTGTATATCTGCCTTTCCAATAAAAATAAATAAATCTTTTAAAAAGTGAATTTGCTGTTTGGACTATTAATAAGCTACTAATCCCTGTCAGCTTAATGGGTTTCTATGGTATGATGAATGTAGTTGCCTGGTATGTTTGTGTCAACTGCTGTAAGCCTGGTCTGTCAGCTTTGTTTTGTAAGAGTGGAAATACGATTTACAACCATGTCAGCAACTATGTTATTACTGTTATTAAAATAACCAGTATCTGTAGATTCCACTGCTGCTAGAATATCCTGTAACCAAACTGATCTTTCAGATTTTTTTAAAGATTTAATTATTTATTTTAAAGTCAGATTAGAGAGATAGGGGAAAACAGAAAAGCTCTGACATCTGCTGGTTCACTCTCCAAGTGTCCTCACAGCCAGGCTGACCCATGCGAAAGCAGGACCTCGGAGCCTCATCTGGGTCGCCCATGTGGGTGGCAGGAGCCCAGACATTTGGACCTGCTGCTCCTTTGCCCAGGTTATTAGCGGGAAATTGGATCAGAAGTGGAACATCTGGAGCATGAGCCGGTGCCATTTGTGTGGCTGGCATTGCATGCACCAACTTTACACACCACACTACAGCACTAGCCCCCGCCTTTTGTATTTTTTTCAAGTGTGCTTTGTTATCTGCCTTCTGAATGTTGTATGGACATTGTTAGAATTATGCATGGCTGTGGTTCAGCAGGAGCTCCAAGACAACCAAGGTTGGTATGAGCCACAGTCCAAGTGAGAGGAGTTAGAATGGCAGGACTTGCTATTTAGTTGAATTGCTTTGATTTCTTTTATGTTAGATTCAAACATAAAAGCAAAAGCAGACCTTTCTAAAATGTTGCAACTTTTTTACTTTGATTTGGGGATTCCAAGTTGTTAGTTAAAAATTAGAATTGATTGTGCGAATCCAGCAGTAACCCACAACCTAAAAATGCCTGGCTCTCTTGTTTTCGCAGGTGTTGGGGAGATGCTTCCTGACTGTGGTGCAAGTCCATTTCCAGTTTTTGACTCATGCATTACAGAAGGTCCAGCCGGTGGCTCACTCTTGTTTTGCTGAGGTTGTTGTGCCAGAAAAAAAGAATAGCAACAGTGGCGGCAGCTTATCCGGCATGGGCCACACGCCAGAACTGGAGGAAGCTGTGCGGTCCTGGCGCGGGGCTGCCGAGGTAACCCTGGCTTTGGGGAGATGGGTGCCCTGTGTCCAAGATGCCTGATAGGGCTTTTGCCTGCTAGTTCTCAAAGCAGCATTTGCTTTCAAAATGAAGGGGGTTTTTTGTTTGCTTTTGTTTTTGTTTTTTAAGAATTTTTTTTTTATTTGAAAGGTTTAATGGAGGAGAGACAGAATGAGAAAGAAGTCTTCCTCCTGCTGGTTTACTCCCCAAATGGTCTTAACAGCTAGAGCTGAGCTGATCTGAAGCCAGGAGCCAGGGGCTTTATCTGAGTCTCCTACATGAGTGCATGGCCCCAGGCACCTGAGCCATCTTCCACTGCTTCCTTAGAGCACTAACAGGGAACTGGGTGGAAAGTGGAGCAGCCTGCATTCGAACTACATCGCCACAGGTGGAGGAGGCTCTACAGGCCAAGGAGGCTTAACTTGCTATCCCAAAATACTGGCCCCTAAAAGTTTTCAACCTGCCTTTGTCTTGTTCATTTATTTAACAGTGAATATTTTGTGAATGCCCACCTTGTGCCAGGCCTTACCAGGCACCGAGCTGGCAGACCCTCCTCACAATCTCCTGAGAGAAAGGACTAATCAAAAAAGCAGGGCACTGTAGTGGGCCTGTGATGGAGGTGTGAAGGGCCCGGTTGTCTTGGAGTGGTGCAAGAGACAGACCTGGGGCAGTGCTGGCGGGGAGTATAAGTCCTCAGCCAGCTAGGCTGGCAGGAGTGCTGGGCGTGCAATTGGAATGGCTCCCCCAGAAGCCATGACTGCACCACAGGGAAAGCTCAGCCAACAGGGAGTCTGGTCTGCTGTTTGCTAGCCAGATCATTTTCTTTACAAGTACTTGGCACTTCTGTAGCTTTTTCAGTTCTTCACAATTTTATCTGATCCATGTAGATCCTGCTGTCAGTTAACTTTGCACGTGATTTGAGCAGTTTTACAGGATTGTTTAATGCCATGAAGTTTTTCATCTTTTGAAGGACTGGAGGACTGGCTGTTACCTATCACAACAGATACATTTACGAACTCCAGCCATCAGCAAGAGCCCAAGGCAGAGGTTGGCTCACGGGGGCACAGAGGCAGCAGTCATGTAGGGTGACATGGCTTGGTGGTCAGTGACGGGGTATAGACATGCCCAGATCTCCTCTTTCCTGGTGGCTTCTTTCCTCACGCAGCCTCCTGAGCAGGGCATCTGCCCCAGGAGCGGCTGCAGAGCTTCCCCTAGCCCCTCCGTGAGGGTACCCAGCCAGAGCGGGGTTCTTCGCTACTCTCTGTTCTTGGCCTACCACCAGAAGAATCTGAATTACATGTATGCTGGTCAAAGTCAGCTCTTTGAAAAAAAGAACAGAAGACTTCTCCCATAACCAATGACAACACTTTTCTTCTAGGCATCTCAGTGCCCCTTTGTTTCCAGTGAAAGGAAGAAAATATAATCTTCCAAGCTAGGCCTCATTGCTCCATTTTATAGAGTGTAAATGATAATTTATGTTGATTGGTTGTAATGTCTAGTCTGAATCATCCCATATTTGGCAAAAATCTTTTTAGTCAGATTTTTAAACATTTTTCATTTTTAACACTGTACCATGTCTAATTTTTACATTTCCAATTTACGCTGCATTATTGCCACTTCTTTTGAATTTCCTTTCTGTTTCTTTTTCCTGTTTGCTTGCTTGTTTTGTTCTCTTTTGTTTTTTGGCCTTTCATGTTGAAGCCTTTCCTGCTATTTAATCAAAATGGCCCTGAATTACTAGCTGGATGCCAAGTAGTGCTGGGCCTTGCCTGTGTCTTTGCCAACTGCTGGGCATTGCCCCCAGACCCTCTTTATCTTGTTCTCTGGCTTTGCAACCCTCTGCGTGCCCCTGGCTGCTGGGCCCCAGTGCCCTGTCTGTGGAGCTCACAATTACAGACTTAGTATCCTGCTGCAGGGTGCACTCCTGCTGAGAACCCACCCACGAAGATGCCTCCTGGCTGCCTGACTCCCTGCTCGCCCGGGCAGTTTGCTCCACTACATTCTGATGTCTGCTCTACAGCTCTGCTGCTCCCCAGCACCACGCTGATAGGGACCCGCTGCAGCAGCTCTTGTGCCTCCTGGCAGCAGCATGCCCTGCTCACCCCCAGGAGCCGTCCTTCCTTACCTCCCCTTCCTAAGAGTCCATGAACGTTGGCCTGGTCCTCGGGGCTGGCTCCTGTGATAGGGTCCAGATCTTCTGCCCCTCAGGCTCAGCCTTCCCACCAGTGCCCAGGAATGCTTCCGGCAGAAAAACCAGGCCTGCCCTGCCCTGTCTCTGCTGTTTTCATAGCCATTTTAAAATAAGTATTGTCTACCTTTCATTTTTAAAACAATTAATATGAAGTATTTCAGCCGTAGATCAAATGTCTGCTACCTCAGTGTTTCTTCCTTCTAGCTTTGGCAAGTGAATCTGGCCTTTCCCAGCATTTGCCTTATGCCTTTTATTTCTATGGAATTATTAGCAGTGCTGTTGGAGCTCCTTGCTGAGTCCCCACTGTCTTGCTCATCTCCCTTCCTCTCTGTGGACATCTTTGATATTTGAAGTCCATAGCTCCTGTTGCCTAGGTTTACTGTGTGTGCATGTTCCATGTGTAATATAAAGTATTATTTTGGACACTGGAGCTTTGTACCTATGGCCCTATTCATCTTGCAGAAATCTGGCTTCCTGCCTAAGAACATGCCTTCTCTGGTTAAGGTCACGGGGCCTCCCCTCTGTTGTCCCGTTGAGAGAGCCTTGCAGGAATACTGTGTTGCAGCTTCCAGGAATGCATCTTTCTTCATTGTCCTCCACCCTGCGGGGTCTTCCTTTCTTCCTCTGCTTTGCCTGCCTTCCTCCTTAACACAGCTTCTGAATTTGTTTTCCAAAACTCACTTTTAGGTACTCCTCCCGGTACAGTCTGCATTCTGTTGTGGGACTTAAAAAAAGCCTGCTGTTTCCAGGGGAGGACCTTGGGGGTGTGAGAAGAGCTACTTCCCTGTGGACTCCACACACGTGAATCCCGCTGTGGCCTCCCTTGGGTCCCTCAGGCGGCACAGGCTTAGCATCTTCCGCACTGCTGTTCTTCCCCCACGCCAGTGAGCGAGGCCATCCTACACTCACTTGAGAAAACAGATTTATCCTGTAGTGTTTCCGTGTATCTACATCTAATCCAATCTTTAAGAAAATCCTGCAAGCCCGTTATCCCAGATATGTACACTTCATCTCATGTTTATTACCACTACTGGATGCTCCTCTCTATCTTCCCTCTAGGTTCTATGCTATTTTGTTTACTTTACTTACTTATGTATGTTTTGGATTTATTTCTTTATTTAAAAGCCAGAGTTCCAGAGGGAGAGAAGGAGAAGTCTTCTATCCCTTGGTTCGTTCCCAGGATGGCCACAGTGACTGAGACTGGGCCAGGCTAAAGCCAGGAGGCAGGAGCTTCTTCCAGGTTTCCAACATGGGCTGCACCTTTTGCTGCTTTTCCGAGGCCATTAGTAGAGAGCTGAAGTGGAAGGGGAGCAGCTGGAACTCAAGCCATATGGGATGCTGGCACTGCAGGCAGCAGCTTAACTGACTATGCTATGACACTGGCCCCTAGCTGTTATTTTAAAAAATTTTGACAGACATCAAAAGTGTTCGTATTCGTGAGATATTATGTGATGTTTCATTTTGTGTATGTACGTATATAAATATGATACGTATATCTACACATACACACACATGTTGAATAATATCCAATCCAATAACATTACTCTGTTGTGCAAGCATCCAAAATCCTATTTTTTTTCTAGCGGAGAAATACAGAGTACCTAACTGTAGACACCCTACTATGCAAAGAAAACGCTAAAGTTCTTAATTCCTAACTAGCTATAATCTAATAACCAGTCTTTCGTTTTAAAATTAATTGATATTGTTTTTCATTTGCTTAGGGTAAAGAGTGGACCACCGTACTGAAACCTTGCTCCCCTTGCCTAAGTGGCTCCTACCTTGATTGCCAGCCTTATCTGTGGCCACTCCCTCTGTCCTCTTGTCCCTTGGATCTGTCTCAGTCACTGCTACCTTGGCTCCTGGCGTGTGTTAAGGACCAGTCACCGGTCCGACACCTTGTATCACCTGTTACACTCGAAGTTGCCTTGTGTCTGCCTTTTTCTTGAACACTTGGCCTACATGTTAGTTTTTCAACATCTGCAGTAATTCTTGTTATAGTACTGCTTCCCTCCCTGTGTTTGCCTCCATTTTTAATTGCATGTTTTATTTGTTTACCATAAAGGAAGGGTCTAGGTTTTGTGCTCCACTATATATGTAGTAGTACCTAACACAAACACACTGTGGGCTAAGTATGTGACTGCAAGATTCTTAGAAAGAGTAAATGGTTCTAGTGCTGAGACTGTGTAGGGCCCAAGGAGTGGCCAAAATTATGCTCTGGAAAACCACAACTTTGGGACATCATAGCATTGTTGTTGCTAGGTAATTTCCTGCAATCATATAAGTTTAGCATTACGGCTCATGCATTGGCCTAGAGGGACTGAAATTAATATTTTTTAAATGTTATTTGTTTCACAGACATTACTGCAACAAAAATGAAACTTGAAATACAATTCATTCCGAATCCTTTACGCCCTAATAAATCAAGTGTTTCCCCGTCTTCTTGTCTACACGGGACTCATGTGTATATAACCTTTGCATTTCATCATAACATGACACAGATCAGTTGCTCCATGTTTTTCTGTCTTACTCCTGTGCCTTTTGTAAGTTTTATTACCAGATTCTTAAAAAAGATTTATTTGCTTTTATTGGAAAGGCAGATTTATAGAGAAAAGGAGAGACAGAAAGATCTGTCTGCTGGTTCATTCACCAAGTGACCACAATAGCCAGAACTGAGCTGATCTGAAGCCAGGAACCAGAAGCTTCTTCTGGGTCTCCCACGCAGGTGCAGGGTCCCAAGGCTTTGGGCCATCCTCGACTGCTTTCCCATGCCACAAGCAGGGAGCTGGATGGGAAGTGGAGTGGTCAGGACGCAAACCAGCACCCATCTGAAATCCCAGTTCATTCAAGACCAGGATTTAGTCATGGAGCCATCACAGTGGACAAATTTTAAAAACTACTTTTCCCACAGTGTTCCTGTTTTTGTTGTTTCCTGTTCTGTATTAGTATGGCTTTTTACCTCAGAGTATAGGAACACCCAACTATATGTCATCCACCTTTGTTTTATATTCTGGAAACTCCAAATGCCAATATTCTAGGTTCTCTTTTTAAAACAGCAATTTAAAGAATGGATGGATGCCTTATATATTAGACACTTAGCAAATAGGCAGGTCTTTTTTCCAGAGTTCCTAAAAAGAAGACAAAACTGTATTGGGGTTGCTTTCTCTTTAGGGTGATTTATTCAGGCTTTTAAAATTTCCTGTTGAAGGCCCAGCACAGTGGCCTAGCAGCTAAAGAACTCACCTTGAATGCACTGGGATCCCATATGGGCACCGGTTCTAATCCCAGCAGCTCTATTTCTCATCCAGCTCCCTGCTTGTGGCCTGGGAAAGCAGTCAAGGACGACCCAAAGCCTTGGGACCCTGCACCTGTGTGAGAGACCTGGAGGGAGTTCCTGGCTCCTGGCTTCAGATCGGCTCAGTTCTGGCCATTGCAGTCAGTTGGGGAGTGAATCATCAGACAGATCTTCCTCTCTTTCCTCCTTTCTGTTTTTCTGCCTTTCCAGTAAAAATAAATAAATCTTCAAAGAAAAATTTCCAGTTGATCATTTTTAACATGGACAACCCCGATTGCGCTTTATATATAATGCCTAGGTGGTTTCTTACTTTATTTTAGCATCATGCTTTTGTTACTGTTTCCGTTTTGATAATAGCTGTTTCATTTTAGTTCTAGATTTTTCTTGCTATTGTGTTAATTTCATTACTAACTATCGTATCCTCCTTTACCTGTCCATCTCTATTTGTGTTGCAGGCGACATCTAGGCTGAGAGAGAGAGGCTGCGATGGCCGCTTGGCAGGAATTGAAGTTCAGCAGCTCTTCTGCTCTCAAAGTGCAGCGATTCCTGAGCACCAGCTAAAGGAACTCAACATGAAAATCGACAGTGCTTTACAAGTATGTTTTGTTAGAATTGGCACATTGATATGAATGTAATGGAGATGAGGCAGAGAGCTAACGTTGTGATGCTAGACCAATTTAAAGGGTGAAAAATACTACCCTTAAATTAATGAAGTTGGTCTCATTAATAGCTATAGAAACTAAATTCCTGTATTCAGTGGAGTTTGTCATTTTTGTAATCTGCTAAACAGTCTTGATCTTGGAAATAATTTCTTTGCAGGCATATAAGATAGCTCTGGAAAGCTTAGGTCACTGTGAATATGCAATGAAAGCTGGCTTCCACCTGAATCCAAAGGCAATTGAAGCGAGTTTGCAGGTACACTTTTCTCTCTGGTACTTCTTGGGCGCCAGGGGGGCTGTGCACGTAGTCTAGCAAGAACAGTGTTTTGTTAGGTGAGCTGTGGATCATCTCTCTCTCCTTCACACCCTTCCCAGGGCTGCTGCAGTGAGGCGGAAGCCCAGCAGACAGGGCGGAGGCAGACACCCCCACAGCCCATGCAGTGTGAGCTCCCCACTGTTCCCGTGCAGATAGGACCACACTTCCTGAAGGGTGTCTCCTTTAACGAGTCGGCCGCTGACAACCTCAAACTCAAGACGGTAATGTTCTGTGGGCTTCCACAGCCATTGGGTTCCGAACACCAAGGCGTGAATTTGAAAGTAGAATTCTTTTTTTTTTTTTTTTTTTTAAGATGTATTTGTTTTTATAGGAAAGACAGAAAGATCTTCCATCTGCTGGTTAACTCCGTAAGTGCCCTCAATGGCTAGAGCTGAGCCTCTTCCAGGTCTCCCACTTAGGTATAGGGTCCCAAGGCTTTGGGCCGTCCTCCACTGCTTTCCCAGGCCACAGGCAGGGAGCTGGAAGGGAAGTGGAGCAGCTGGGATATAAATCAGTACCTATACAGGATCCCAGCAGATGCAAGGTAAGGACTTTAGCCACAAGGTTACCTTGCTGGGCCCAAAAATAGAATTCTTAAGGGGCACTCAAGGACATATGGAAGATCTTCCTCTCTGTATCTCTTCTCTGTGTAGATCTGCCTTTCCAATAAAAATAAAATAAATCTTAAAAAAAAAAATCAAACAAAGATCAAGGAAGGAGACATTGACCTTCCAAAGTGAGGGGTCTACAGCAGTCCTATAGTACAGTTTTAATGAGATGTTTGCCAAACAGTTTTTATAATTTCAGCTTTAACTTAAAGGGTTTGAAGGAATGTTATATCGTTTATGCTTAATAAGTCTCAGCGGGCTTCCATGAGAAACTGCCTCATCTGACTGCAGGAATAATGACTGTGTATGGAGCACTGTGTCGGCCAGGCTCTGTGCCATGGGCTTCTTATGTGTTGTCTTTTTAGTGTTCACCTGGGTAGTGGATGCCGCCTGTCTCCCCACTTGACAGGCGGGCAGACTGAGGCCCAAGTTCACATGGTTGTAACGCAAAATGCTGCAACTTGAACTTCAATACTTCCCAGAGTTTGCACAACGTAGCTGACCACTTGGTCATCCCAAGTGACACTGAGATTTTGGTTGGTATTTACTTTTACCAGATGAGTTTTATTTACTTGTTTGAAAGGCTTCAGAACTTTAAGTCCTCACTAGGTTGCTAATTAATGCTGCGTTTTGTGCTTGTATGGAAATGACATGTATATACTAAAGCACGTGTGCCCATCCATATCTAGCTGTTTAGAACTGGAAAAAACTTGAAGGTGACTTAGAGTAACTTTTTCAGAAACTGAAATGACGTGATTTTGGCATATATACAATGCTTTTCTCTTGAGGGTGATTGGGCAAACACCTTTTAGAACCTTGTGTGGGTTTGTCTTGAGGTGTGAACTTTCTTCTTCTCAACCTTCAGCATACAATGTTACAACTCATCAAAGAAGCTGGCTGTTACAATGGAATCACATCCCGGGAAGACTTTCCTGTGACTGAAGTGCTCAACCAGGTGTGCCCGTCCACCTGGCGGGGTGCCTGCAAGACTGCCGTGCAGCTGCTCTTCGGCCAGGCTGGGCTGGTGAGTGCCTGTGCGCGATGCAGGAGCAAGGAGAGATTGCCAGCACGGGAGGGTGCAATGGAGGCGCGTGTGTGGAAATACTGAGCATTTCATCAAGGTCATCAGTGCTGCAGAATGTAGTCAACAGAGACAACAGTGAAGGAAAGGCCTTACAAAATATCTTTCTGCTTTTACAAATTGGTAGTCTATATGTGCAGAGAACCCAGCTGCAGAATCATGTTGAAAACATTCCTCGTTTTAAGAAACCATTGCATTAGTAACAGTTGGACAGGACCAGGCGATGCCTTTTTCTCACGTTTGCCGAACTTCTCGCTGTCTTGATCCTTTGCACCTGATCCCCCTGTAACCTGGAAATACCAATTTCCACGTGGCACGCTCATTTCCTAGTGTCCGTTCCAATATCACTTGCTCCAGGTCTCCTTCCCTGACCATCCTGACAAATAACACCCTGCCTAATGAGCCCCTTTGAATCCTGGCTCTCTGTTTACCTCCTTCTTAGCAATAAAATAACATTAACTAAAAAATAATGATTTGGGCCTAATGTGATGGCACATAAGGCTTATCCTCTACCTGCTAGTGCCAGCATCCCGTATGGGCACCGGTTTGTGTCCCAGATAATCCATTTATTTATTTATCTATCTATTTGGTCTACTTCAGCCTTTATTATCTTTGTTTTTACATCCCAACCATTTTTATTGAGGTGCAGATGATAAACCAGGAACTGTTACATTTTTAATGTGTATAATTTGACATATCTTTTTTTTTTTTAAGATTTATTCATCTTTATTACAAAGTCAGATATACAGAGAGGAGGAGGGACAGAGAGGAAGATCTCCCGTCCAATGATTCACTCCCCAAGTGAGCCACAACGGCCGATGCTATGCCGATCCGAGGCTGGGAACCAGGAATCTCTTCCGGGTCTCCCACGTGGGTGCAGGGTCCCAAAGCTTTGGGCTGTCCTCAATTGCTTTCCCAGGCCACAAGCAGGGAGCTGGAAGGGAAGTGGAGCTGCTGGGATTAGAACCGGCACCCATATGGGATCCTGGTGCATTGAAGGCAAGGACTTTAGCTGCTAGGCCACGCCGCTAGGCCCGACATATCCTTTTTTTAAACAACAAATTTACTTTATTTTTGATAATGTTTACATAGTTGAGAAAGATGCATACCAACGTAGACCACTGGTTGGTTAGGGTGGAAAGAGTCGAGGAATGGGCGAAAGTGGATAGTTTCCAATTTGTTTTTTCTTCCTATATCTGGAGGAAGAGGAGAGAGAAGGAAAGAGCTGTTTCCAGCAGCCTAACCGCGTTCAGTACCCAGAAATGTAGAATAGCCCCTTGATGTCATCACAGGGTCCCCAATGTGGAGCATATTCCTAGGGCACTGCTTATGTGTCCCAGCTGCTCCGCTTATGGTCCAGTTCCCTTCTATGTCCTGGGAAAGCAGTCGAGGTTGGCCCAAGCCCTTGGGTCCCCGTGCCCACAACAGAGACCAGGAAGAAGCTCCTAGTTCCCAGCTTCAGATCAGCTCAGCTCTGGGCATTGCAGCCATTTAGAGAATAAACCAGCAGATAAGACTTCTCTGTCTCTTCTCTGTATAATCTGCCTTTCAAATAAAAATAAACAAAAACTTTAAAAAGTAACAATAGTTTGATCTCATCACTTCTCAGAGGAGAAGGAAAAATTTTTGCCTAAGTGGGGTAGGATCAGAACAACAGCTTAAGTCACCATTTTATTTTTATTTGGCACCATTCACTAAATAACCTTATGCACCTTGATCTACTTTCTAGTTAACAATTCTTCCTGCCTTCCCCCTTTTTCCATTTTGTTTCAAAGACAAAGGCAGAAAGAGAAGGAGTGCATCCATCTGCTAAGTTGCTTCCCATATGCCGGGCCGAAGCCAGCAATCTAAGCCTGAATCTGGGTTTCCCATGTGGGTGGGAGGGACCCGGCTCTCTGAGCCACCATCTGCTGCTTCCCAGAGCTCATAGTAACGGGGCAAGGCACCCCCAGGTGGACTTGAGAAAACATCCTAAGTTTAAAAAATAATAATAATAACATCTTTTTCGGAGAGCACAAGATTTTCCTGGTTCCTTCACTTTGATTGTGGGACACCTTTGTGTGTGACTGACAAAAGGACCATTAGCTTATGGTTCTGGGTGGGAGGCCTGAGGAAGCACCTGTGTGAGCCCACAATAGCTGTGGCTTGGACAGGAAGTCTTTTCCAAAGCACCAACTGGGGGAATTCCATTTACAGCAGCGAAAATTGGCTCCATGAGTGGCCTTGATAAGAATGTTGCACAGCTTTGCCCCATGGGATATCTTACTGGTTTGGTGTTAGGGGTATGTGATTTTCTTGAAATTCTTTTTGTGATTTGAAAATATAATCGTTATTTTGTCATTCTATAGATGACATGAATGCTATACGCTTGTGTAATGTTAGGAATTCTCCATCACAAACAGCTCTTTTCTTGAAGTTAAAAATAACGAACACAGGACACAAAGTCGTTTCTAATTAACATAGTTTGCAAGGATGCTTACAGTGTTCAGCAGATCCCACTCCCAGTTCTGCTGAATGAAGTGTTGTCCGTTTAATCGTCTCCGTTACTTGGTATTGTCTTCCTGCTCCTCCTGCTTAGGCCAGGGGAGTCCTTCTTACCAGTCACTCAGCAGCCACAGGCTCGTGTGTTGGATAGCTTTTCCTTTCTACAGGCAGCTGACTATTTTTATTTTTCTCTCAGGTGGTGGTTGACACAGCACAGATTGAAAATAAAGAAGCCTATGCACCCCAAATCAGTTTAGAAGGTTCCAGAATCGTGGTTCAAGTCCCATCCACATGGTAATGTGCCTCTTATATTAGCTGAAGCCTAAGCCCCGAGTGAAGCCTGCGCGTTTCTGAAATGACCTCTTTGTTTTGCACAAACCCCTGACACCTGCATGGCAGGTCTTGTTCCATGTGCAGGTCAGTGAGCAGCAAGGCTGTGGGAGTGGCTGGGGTTGAGATTATTAGTCTGATGAGGAAGTGAAGATGTCTGCTAATCATTTTGTTGACTAAGACATTAAACACTTTTGGGTCATAAGAAGCAGTATCATCTTTATCCACAGTTTTTAAACTTTGATAGGTAGTTTCCTTAAGTCTCTAGAGTCTCTCTAGCGTTGAGTGGGGAGCATGGTATCCCTGTTCCCTTCCTGTGTTCCTGCTGCAACCCTGCACATTATGGCCTCCCTTCATTACACACCCAGGGTTGCTGCAAATCCGGGTACAGACTAAACCACCTTAGTCCTTTAATTATATTCGTCACACAGTAGAACACAAATAACTCCTGTTTTTTAAGGTGCCCTTATAGGGTTCAGTTTGATGACCTAAGCTATATCCTCATCTTGTGTGTGCCAGGATCCCATATGGGTGCTGATTCATGTCCTGTTTGCTCTGCTTCCCATCCGGCTCCCTGCTTGTGGCGGGGAAAGCAATGGAGAATGGCCCAAAACGTTGGGACCCTGCACCTGCGTGAGAAACCCAGGAAAAGCTCCTGGCTTCAGATCAGCTTAGCTCCAGGCGTTGTAGTCACTTAGAGAGTGAACCAGCAGACAAAAAGGTCTTTCTGTGTCTCTGTCTTGATAGATCTGCCTAAGTGCTAAGCGTTCAGCTAGCAGTTGAGAGCTGTCTTCCCATATTGGTGTACCTGAATTCAATTTGAGCTCCAACTCCTGCCCAGCCTCTGCTGCAGCCTCCTGCTTCCTACCAGTGCGGACCTTAGGAGGCTGCAAGCACACTTCAAGTCACGGGATTCCTGTTCCCTTGGGGGCCTCAGGGACGTGGCTCCTGGTGCCAGCCTCCCAACCCAGCTATGGCCACTAAGGCATTTGGGGAGTGAAGCAATGGATGGGAGCCCATTCTCTTTCTCTCTCTCCACCCCTAAGTTAAAAGAAAAAAAAACATTTTTGGCCCAGCAAGGTGGCGCAGTGGTTAAGGTCTTCGCCTTACATGCCAGGATCCCATATGGGCGCCGGTTCTAATCCTGGCAGCCCCGCTTCCCATCCAGCTCCCTGCCTGTGGCCTGGGAAAGCAGTCGAGGATGGTCCAAGGCTTTGGGACCCTGCACCCGTGTGGGAGACTCGGAGGAGGCTCCTGGCTTCAGATTGGCATAGCATCGGCCATTGCGCTCACTTGGGGAGTGAATCATCGGACAGAAGATCTTCCTCTCTGTCTCTCCTCTCTGTATATCCGCCTTTCCAATAAAAATAAAATAAATCTTAAAAAAAAAAAAAGAAAAAAAATTTTAACTCATCAGTAAGAAAATGGGCAATGGGACATGACCAGAAAATGAGACAGATGATCAAGAAACAATATGATGCCATTTTGTCAAAATGTTAAATTGTTACGGAGAGGGCAGTAACCTAGTGGCTAAAGTCCTCGCCTTGCATGCACTGGGATCCCATATGGGCACTAGTTCATGTCCCAGCTGTTCTACTTCCCATCCAGCTCCCTGCTTTTGTCTGGGAGGGTAGTTAAGGACGGCCCAAAGCCTTGGGACCTGCACCTAAAGGTGCAAACGCAGAAGGGAGACGCAGAAGGAGCTCCTGGCTTCAGATAAGCTTTCAGATTAGCTTTGGCCATTGTGGCAATTTGGGGAGTGAACCAGCAAATGGAAGATCTTCCTGTCTGTCTCTCTTCCTCTTTGTATATCTGACTTTTCAATAAGAATTTTTAAAATATTTTTTAAAAAAGAACTTGTTATAAAATAACAATACTCAAGGTGACGACGCTACTTTGGGTCAGATTGTGAAAAAACAGAGATGATTAAATGGAGAATAAATACTAGAGCCCTTTCTGAAGGGTGGGATTAGGATATGAGAAGTCTGAAATAGAGGCCAGCCTTGTAGAACAAGTTGAGCCAACCCTGCACTAGCATCCGGTGTGAATGCTGGATCGGTTTCCTGTTGCTCATGTGTCCAGAAAGCAGTAGAGCATGACTCAACTGCTTAGATCCTGTCGCCCATGTTGAAGACCTGGGTGCAGTTCCAGGCTCCTGGCTTCAGCCTGACCCAGACCAGGCCATCGTGGCCATTTGGAGATGAGCCAGTGAATGGAAGAGGTCTCTTTGTCTCTTTCTCCTCCCTCTCTTTCTCTGTAACTTTGCTTTTCAAATAAATCAATCAATCTTCAAAAAAGAGAATCTAAGGCCTTGTGCGGTGATTCAATGGCTAAATCCTCACCTTTCAATCACTGGGCTCTCGCTCAGATGCCAGTCCCTATCCCAGTTTTTGAGACCCAGAGGAAGTTCCTGGCTCCTGGCTTCGGTTTGGCTCGGCTTCCATTGCGGGTATTTTGCGGAGTGAACCAGAGAGATGGAAGATCTTTCTCGCTCTCCTTCTCTCTGTAAATCTGCCTTTCCAATGGAAATAAATAAATTTTAAAAATATATATGGGTCTAAACCTGTAAAACAGTAATGATCTAGATGAGTATTAACTGTGAAGAAAATATATACTTCAGTAGTAAGGAAAAAAAATTACTATGAGTGCCTAAGTGGATTAAAGAGGTAACTGGATAATGCAAAAAAAATTATTTGAACTCCTTTTTTTTAGAGAAGATGTTTATTTGAAAAGACAGAGAGGGGGAGGTTTGCATCTAAATACCTACAACAGCCAGAGATAAGCTAGACTGAAAGCAGGAGTCTCAGAGTAGTTCTGGTCAGCTGAGCTGGTTCTGCAGACCTGAGTACTTGAGCTGTCATCTGCTGCCTTCCAGGAGGTTCATAAGGGGGACATCAATCAGAATAGGTAGGTCACTGGATCAAATAAATGGCTAATACTAGATGACCAACAATCAAATTTGCTGGTAAAAGTTGGCCTGTGTGATTGCATTTGTCATCTTTTTTGCCTACTCTATAAAGCCATTACAGACCAAGCTTATTTGCAGAGGCTCCCTCTGCTGTCTGCTTTTGGTAATGACACAAAATTTTAGTTCTGTTTTTCTTCAGTTTTAGAGTGCTGTCCCTTTTCATACCCTTGGGACCGGAGTGTTTGCTGTTTTGTGATTTGGGTATATATGCCTGTGCATGAGCTATCTCAAGGGTAGAACCCAAGCATAAATGTGAAATTTACTTACGTTCCATATATACCTGAGACACATAGCCTCAAGGCAACTTTAGACTGCATTTAGCGAACTTGAATTTTGTTATAACCCAGCACATGAGATCAGCTGTGGAACTTTCCACATGTCTCATCAAGTCAGTGCTCAAAAAGTTTTGTGTTTTAGAACATTTTTTATTGAAGATGTTCATCCTGTACAAATACAGGCTTGTTGAGAAGAATGTAGACAGAAGCTGTTACTCTGTCTTAGGAAAAATGGTATTGACAAAAAGGGAAGCCAAGAATTTACCATATGATGTGTTTTCAGGGTCTGGCTGCCAAACGTGTTTTCTTCCAGAATGATTCCTTAACATTATTAATGTTCATAGTTATCTTTCAACAATTTCTTACCGAATTACCTACTGTGAGCCAGACATTGTTCAAAAAGCTCTGGGAAGTTAATCATGAACAAGGAAGAAGGGGTAACAAGACAGGTTTAGTAATAGAGAGGGGGAGGAGACAGCTAACGTGCGTAAGAGCTGAGTTCAGACACTGGCAAATGCAGAGAGGAAACTGGAAGAGAGTGATCGAGAACCATGGAGGTGGAGATAGAGGGCAGACTATTTGAAACAAGTCATCAGGCAGGAACAGTCTCTCTGTGAATACGACATTAGGTTTGACTGGAGCCAACCACTTGGAGAGCAAATGGGGACACGGTCTAGTTGGGAGGACTAGCAAATGCAGAACCTGACGAGTGAGCTCGTGTTGTATGGAGCTGTAGGAGAGAGGGAATGGAGATTATTTGAAAGGCCAGTTACGAGAGAGGGAGGGACAGAGAGAGAGAGAGATCATGTGTCTATTGGCTCACTCCCCAAATAGCTACATGGCCAAGGCAGGGCCAGGCTAATGCCAGAAGGCAAGAGCATCTTTCAGGTCTCTCACATCTGCTGCTTTCCCAGGTGTATTAGAAGGGAACAGGATCAGAAGTAGAGCAGCCAGGACTCAAAGCAGAGCGCATGTGAAATGCTGGCGCTGCAGGCAGAAGCTTAATGTGCTGTACCATAGTCCCAGCCGTGAAAGAGGAATTACTGTCTCCAGGAAGTGTAGTGCTCCTTCCTGAAAGAGCAGCAAATGCTCTTCTGGAGGTGAAGTCAGTGACAAGCCGAGTCACACCCTGAAGTTGGCTTTACTTGGCTACTGCCTTGGGCCCTATAACTTAGTTTTGATACTTAACTTCTTGGAAATGTTTTCTCGGGTCCAGGTGACAGACCATAAGGGGTTTGTTCCAATCCTCATTGACTGTTAATTTCCTTTTTTTTATTATTATTATTTTATTCAAAAGACAGATTTACAGGAAGAAGGACAAGGAGAGGGAAAGTTCTTCCCCAGATGGATACAGCAGCCAGAGCTGAGCTGATCAGGAGTCAGGAGCTTTTCTGGGTCTCTCCCATGGGTGCAGGGACCCAACCACCAAAACCACTCTCCACTGTTTACCCCGGCCATAAGCAACAGGGAGCTGAATGGAAGGTAGAGCAGCTGGGCCATGAACCAGCACCCATGTGGTATACCAGTGCCAGCTGGTGGAAGATTAGCCAGTTGAGTTCATGCCCTGGCCCATGAAAGACAGCTCAGTCAGGAGCGCTCTTCTCTGCCATCTCCAGAGGGTTGTGTAGGGCTCCTGAAAGCCCCAGGTTTTAGTCATGGTTTGCTCTTAGTGCTGACCTACTGCCATCATGAGCTCTGCACAAAAAGCCTCGCTAGCACAGAAAATGCCCTGGTCACCCAGGAACCCCCAAGGGCTTCCAGAGCTCTGTGTCAGCACCAGGATCAAAGACCAAATATCCAAACACTGGATGCCTCTCGCTCCCCTATCAGTATAGAAGTCAGAAGTATCAGGAGTTGATGGCAGAAACCAAACATACTGTCCTACCATCGTGCAACTTAAGACTTTTCAGTCGTGCTGAAATCTGGGCAGCCAGTCATTCTGTTTGTCGGTTTCAGTACAGTAGTCAGGAAGTCAGCTGAGGTATTGGCACTGGCTCAGAATGCTCCCGCAGGCTAACGTGCGTGAGCTGAGCAAGACTAAGGGCATGGCAGAATGGTTTGGGAGATTAGATGTATTAAAAGGAATTTTTGGCTTACAATATTGTCAACTTCCAATGTCTTTATCAGAACACATCCCATCGGAAGTTAAGGAATATCTTTTTGGCAGAAATTCCCCGTGGGGCCCATTTCATCATTTACTTCTATGGGAACAGCACATTCCATAAGTTGTTTTATAATTATTGAATTTGTATTGGGTGTCAAAAGTGCAGAAACTGTAGTCTCTTTTTCTTTTCTTTTTTGAAAAGATTTGTTTATTTTTATTGCAAAGTCAGATATACAGAGAGGAGGCGATACAGAAAGTAACATCTTCTGTCCAATGATTCACTCCCCAAGTGACCACAATAGCCAGTGCCATGCTGATCCGAAGCCAAGAGCCCACAGCCTCTTCTAGGTCTCCTGCATAGGCACAGGGTCCCAAGGCTTTGGACCATCCTTGACTGCCCTCCCAGTGCACCAATTAGAGTCTCGGCTGCTCCACTTCTGATCTAGCTCCCTACTAATGTGCCTGGTAAGGCACTGGAATATAGCCCAGTAAGATTCCCTGCTACCCATGTGGGAGACCCGGATGGAGCTCCCAGCTTCCATCTGACCCTGACCATTGTAGCCATTTGGAGAAGGAAGCAGCCAATGGAAGATCTCTCCCTCTCTCTCCTTTTCTCTCTTATCTCCCTTTATCTATCTCCATCTCTGTAACTGTGCTTAAGGAGAGACAGAGGAAAAAAAAGAGATTGATCTTCTATCCACTGGTTCACTCCCTAAATGGTCTTAGTGGCCAGGTCTAGTCTAGGCTGAAAGCAGGAGCCTGGAATTCTATCCAGGGTCTCCCACATGTGTGCAAGGGCCCAGAAACTAGGGCCATCTTTCCCTGCTCTCCTAAGCACATTAGCCGAGAGCAGGCTTGGAAGTAGAACAGCCAGGACTGACACACTAGGATGCAGGTATGGCAGAGGGTTCCGCTCTTCCGTTAATGCTGGCCCCCGTTTCAGCCTTTCTGTCAGACCTGCTTCAACATCTTTGCAGAGAAGCACAGCCAAGACTAATGCAGTCTGATTCATGCCCAGGTGCCTGAAAGAAGACCCGGCCACCATGTCCCTGCTGCAGAGAAGCCTCGATCCCGAGAAGACGCTGGGCCTGGTTGACGTGCTCTACACCGCTGTGCTGGACCTGAACCGCTGGAGAGCAGGGAGGTCGGTGTCTCCCTCAGCCTCACACTGGCCTGCCAGGGGCCTGCAGTTGAGCACATAAAATTCCATGCATGTTTGCACTGACAGTACATGCATAAATAAGATGGTGTAACCTCTTTGTTTCAGAATAATTTCCAGTCTGCAGGAAAGTTGTAAAAATAGTACAAAGAATGATTATGCCCTTTACCCAAGTTCTCTTAAATTGTTTGCTTTGTGTGTGGTTGTGTGTGTATGCATTTATTGATTTTTTTTACGTAACTTACAATCTTATGAAAGAAAAATAGAAATATTAGGAAAGTATGTCCTTCATGAAATGTGTTTACATGGCTGATGGTTTCCAGATGAGCTCCTGGTGAACTGTTGATTTCAGAACTGGTTGGACGTGAACAGCTCCTGTTGGCCTGTTCTGCCCTCATCAGCTCCTGGAGATACGGCACAGTACTATGACTTGTACAGGGTCACATGTCGCATGCCTCATCTCCTACTCCATGCCTCTCTGTCTCCAGAGCTTTTTTGGTCCATGAATAGTGCTGAGAAAACTTTGGAATCAGCCATGAACTTGCCAGCTCATGGCCCTCCCCTACCCCATGGCATGTGGGTTAGACTGTTGTCCCTCTGCCTAATCAGCCTGGCCCTCGGTCCCTCTGCTCCACGCATGGAGCTCCTGTCCTGCCTTGCTGCAGCCTTGCTCTGTCCTCCTGTGCAGCACTTACTGAGTCACTCAGTCTGACTCTTTGGGCCAGAACCTAGATGTTAGATTTTCATAGCCATTTCCTGGACACTGCAGATTGTACATATTCAGTCCTTGAATGGTCACTTATGAGGGTTTAGCTATAAGTGAGTTTAATACCAAGCAGAGACCTGTCTTTTTTCAAAATCTTTTTTACACACAAAGAGGTACATTTCAGTCTTCAGTGTGTGAATTGTTTTTCTGTGTAATAGGGAGCAGGTCTTACCCTGCATACAGATCCAGCTTCAAAGGGAAATCTGTGATTTTGGAAGTCACGCTGACCTGCCTTCTGGAAATGGAAACAAATCTTCAGGTGGCTTGCAGAAGACATTCTCCAAACTGACATCCCGGCTCACCAAGAAAGCTTCATGTACCAGTTCAAGCAGCAACACAAACTATTCCATCCCAAATACCCCTTCCAAAAATATTTTCATAGCTGGGTGTTCAGAAGAGAAGGCCAAAATGCCCAGCAATATTGATACACGGTTACAAAGCATCTTGAACATTGGTAATTTCCCTAGGACTACAGACTCTTCCCAATCAGCTCAGAATTCCAGTAATCCAATGGCCAATGGTTTTCTCATGGAGAGACATGAGAACTTCCCACATGGGGATGATGGCAAGGACGAGAAGGGGATGAATTTACCAAGCGATCAGGAAATGCAGGAGGTGATTGATTTTCTCTCCGGATTTAACATGGGCCAGTCACATCAGGGTTCCCCACTGGTGACAAGACGTAATTCTTCCACTGCAGCCATGGTGACCGACCAGAAGGCAGGACCCATGCAGCCACAGCAGCCATCCCTGCCAGTGCCCCCTGCACCACGGCCACCCCAGGCTGGAGCACATACCACTCTGACACCACAGCCAGGACTGGCACCTCAGCAGCAGTCCCCAAAGCAGCAGCAACCCCAGGTTCAATACTACCAACACCTGCTTCAGCCCATTGGACCACAGCAGCCCGCACCCCAGCCTCGAGCCCCCGGGAAATGGGTCCCTGGCTCGTCGCAGCAGCCAGCACAGCCCGTCGGGCCAGGCCTGTCTCCTCTCGGCCAGTGGCCTGGCATGTCTGACCTCAGCTCGGACTTGTACAGCTTGGGTCTCGTGAGCAGCTACATGGACAATGTGATGTCGGAGGTTTTAGGACAGAAGCCACAGGGACCTAGAAATAACACCTGGCCGAACCGTGACCAAAATGAGGGTGTCTTTGGAATGTTGGGAGAGGTTCTACCTTTTGATCCTGCAGGTATGTGAGACCTCACCCCCCACCCCTGTTTCAGTATAAGGTGAAATCACAGAGGATTTCTTGAGGCCTGTGGCCACAACCTTATTTGCCAAGCTTAAATAGCTTAAGTTCCTGTTGGGACCCTCTCTGTCTGGAGACAGGTATAGGGCAGATCTAATATGAATGGGTATGAATGGGTGCGGTGGTGAGAGAGAGGGGTAGAAAGCCGCTGGAACCACTATCTGGGATAGGCTTGAGGCAGAGAGAAAGTATTGAAGGCTTTGAGATCACATGATTCAATGGGCTCGGGTTGGTCTTCCCACTTCTGGGTTCCAGGTGGGTAGCTCCTTGTGAGGTGCTTTTTTTTTTTTTTAACCTGTTTTATTGTGACTTAGTGTTTATATTCAAAGATTGATTTCTTTTCTATTGAAAGGCAGAGTTACAGAGAGACATCTTCTATTGCTGATTCACTCCCCAAATGGCCACATGGCTAGAACTAGGCCAATTAGAAGTCAGGAGCATCTTCTCATGTGGGTCCAGGGGCCCAAACACCTGGGCCGTCTTCCACTGCTTTCCCATTGCCTATAACAGAGAGCTGGATTAGAAGTGGAGCAACTGGGGCCCAGAGCCTCTAGGTGTCCCACTCAGGTGCACGGTCCCAAGACTGAGCTGTTCTCTGCTGTCCCAGGCCACAAGCAGGGAGCTGGATGGGAAGCAGGGCCACCAGGATTAAAACTGGCACACTTATAGAATCCCGGCACTTGCAAGGTGAGGATTTGGTCATTGGGCCATCGTGTCTGGCCCTAAAATTTAATCTTGGAGAGCGAAATTGGGTCCAGTGCGATAGCCTAATGGCTTAAGTCCTTGCCTGGCAACCGTAAATCTGCCTTTCCAATGAAAATAAAGTGTAAGGGCCTGGCGTGGTGACCTAGCAGACAAAGTCCTTGCCTTGAACACACCGGGATCCCATATCATCGCCGGTTCTAATCCTGGCAGCCCTACTTCCCATCCGGCTCCCTGCTTGTGGGCTGGGAAAACAGTTTAGGACAGTCCAAAGCCTTGGGACCCTGCACCCACATTGAAGACCTGTAAGAACTCCTGGCTCTTGGCTTCGGATCTGCGCAGCTCCAGCCATTGCGCTCACTTGGGGAGTGAATCATGAGACAGAAGATCTTCCTCTCTGTCTCTCCTCCTCTCTGTATATCTGACGTTCCAATAAAAATAAGTAAATGTTAAAAAAACATTGTAAGTAAATAAATTAACTACAGATTCCTGTAGATTATTTATTTATTTACTTACTTATTTGAAAAGCAGCATCAAAGGGAAGAGAGAGAGAGAGATCTTTTGTACACTCACTCATTCCCAAATGTGGCCAAAGCCCAGAGCCAGGAACTCCATCCAGGTGTCCCATGTCGCTGGCCGGGACCCACGTGCCAGAAGCATCCTCCACTGCTCTCCCAGGTACATCCGCAGGGAGCTGGATCAGAAATGAAGCAGCTGCTACTCAAGCTGGTGCTCCAGTGTGGGCGGCTGACATTGTAGGCAGCAGCTTAACCTACTTAGTCACCATGCTGGTTCCCAGCTTCTGTCTGTCTGTCTTTCTTTTGAATAAATTTTATTTTTGATGATATTTACATAATTGAGAAGGATGCATACCCACTTGGACCACTGATTAGTGTGGGGAGGGTCAAGGAATGGAGAAAGTGGATGAGGCAACGGTCTCTAATCTCCTTTTTTCTTCCTGCATCTGGGGAAAATGGAGAGAAAAGGGGAGAGGGCCACTTCTAACAGCCCAGTCGCATCAGTACCCACGGATAGCGTCAGCCACCCATTGTCATCCCAGGGTCCCTGGTGTGTGGTGCATGTTCCTAGGGCACTGCTTAATTGATGCTGTTGATTTCGTTGCTCCAAAGTTGAGGAAATCTTCCAAAGTCCATTGGCCAACAGAGTCTCCGCTTGCCCACATACTTGCTATCATAGCTTGCTGTGACCCAGTCTGTCCAATCCATCCTGATCTCCATGGTACTAGAAGTCCTCTGCAGGCATCCATGAACTGGTTGTCATGTTCCCTCTGTGCATCTTGCATGTTGTCCACTGTACAGGTTTCCACAACTGAGGAGTCCCAGTTCTGACACATGCACTCCACAGTCAGACCACAGATCCTTTGATTTTCCCCATGGTCAGAGTTCTGAGTCCAGTGGTCCAGTAAGGGGGACCCCAAAAAAACCTCACCAGATGTGACTCCTGTGTGTGCCAGCCAGTGAGGGGTCCGGATCAGTCCATCACCCATATCAGCCTGCACACACACTAGTGGTTGTAGTCACCTGGTTAGTTCTGTCCCCAGCCTCATCTCATACACAAACCAGTGGATACCAGGGCCAGTCCTTCCCTGCCTACCATACACTATATCCTAGTTGGAGTGACCCCCAGTAACCCATGCCAGGCCCGCCCCCAGCCCCAGTTACTGTGCATGCTGGTGTGTGCAGCAAGTAGACTGCTTCATTCTGTCCCGCATCCCATTCTGCTGTTGAATACATCAGTGAATGTTGGAGCCCGGCTCAGCCTGACCAACCTCAGCCCTGCTATGCAGCCCACACAATGCTAGTGGGTGCTATTGCCTATCCATCCAGGCCCAACCCCAGCTCTGGTTCTCATGCTCACCAGTGGAAGATGCAGCCCATCAGAGAGGTATCTATAATTTCCCTACTAGGCCCACTCCCAGCCCCAGATTTTGTACTTTCCAGGTAGTTCTGCGGGCTAGCCTAACCGGACTTGCCCCCAGCACCTGCTAGCCAAATCCTGCAACAAAGCTTGACCATTTTGCAGCAGTAGATATGGTCGCTTAGCCCAGCCTGGCTCTCTCCCTATCCCAGTTCACATGCAGGACAACGGGTGATGTATACCTGCCCAGTTCCAGCTCTCACTCTTACCAGCAAAAAGTACAAAATCTGGGTTGGGCCTGGCTGGATAGGCAATCTCCCTCAGCAGTCCTTCCTCCCACACATCCCCAGGCTCCCTCCTCTGAGCAATTCCCACGAGCACAGAGATCCCCAAACCTGCTCCTCTGGCGGTGTGTCATGCTGCGCTGGCAGCCCTGTCTGCTGCCCGAGACCCACGTACACTCAGGCATGGACCCCCAGGTGCCATCTGCCAGAGTCTGCTCCCCATGTATCTTTTAAAAAGAAAAAAATAGGCAACCATGCTGGCAAACTGATATAGTTAACACAGACTTGGCAATAACCAGGCCAGGAATGCTATTAGCTGTTTGATTTTCCAGCAGCGTAACACTTTCCTAGGTACAGTGTAACCTAGGCACTTGCCTACAGCTGAGAGGCTCCTGGTTCTACGTTTTTGTATCTAAATTCCGTGTATAAATGGTGTTTGGCAGGATATTACCATCTTTGACTTTAAGACTCTGACAACCCGTATGTGTTTTTCCCAAAAATTCTACTCTTTTCCCTCTGGGTTTTGCTGTCTGACTCTCCTGCTCTGGATGTCGCTTCTGCAGATGCCTCCCCGAGGGCATATAGGCGGCATGACCTGGTGTGCACACAATGGCAGGGCACTTCTGCACAGGTGAACCAGTGAAGGTCCCTCCTGCAGCCGTGGAACACAGCACTCCCTCTGGACTGGAGACTAGCACCTCAGGGGCGTGGCTTGGCTTGGCCGCCCGAGATCAAGCCCTTTGTTTCTGCCCCTGGCATGGGCATTGTCGTGACAGTGTTGATCACGGGACTGCGTCTTTCCCAGTTTGAAACTAGTACTGCTGCATGGCCTTCAGTTGTGCTCCACTGATACTTTCCTGGTGTGTCTTTCTGCTTGACTCTTCTGTGCATACTATCTGTGTGGGGTTTTTTGCTTCCCCTTCCACTGCCGTGCACACTGGCTCTATCCAGTATGTTTCCAGCCACCTCTTAAGTAATTGTGGCATTTGTTCTTATTTCTTTGCCAGTCTTTCTGTCTGCAGACTAAGTAGGCAAGTCTGCTGTCTGATATCCAGGAAAATACTGGGTCAGGGTTTGGTTCTGTGAGAAGCGCACATGTTCTCTGTCTGGTTGACCTTGGTGCTTGGATCACTTTCAGGTTATTCCGTTGACCAGTCATCGTCAGTTTTCCAAATTGACAGGGAGAGACAGTGTGAGCACTCAGCACCAAGGCATGGAAAATGTACAAGTAACTGGTGTTTGTCATTGAAGACTCTTTAAGGTGGTCATGGATACATCAAACTTCTTTTCTTCACAGTCAGCGGACAGTGCCCATCCCAACAGTCTCTGCTCGCCCCAAGTCCCATCTTCAGATCTGGGAGCTGAAAGCCCCAGCTCACGGCTGCAGGGTCTCAGGCCTGTGCTGCCACAAGCCTCTGCAGTACAAGCCTGCTCACAGCTCCTCACCATGCTGCTTGATGTGAGAGCAGCACATCCTCAGAGGGTAGAGAAGGAACCAAAATTGGACCCAAATCTTGTTTTCCTTTTTGTCTCCACACAGTGGGCTCTGACCCTGAGTTTGCACGCTATGTGGCAGGAGTGAGCCAGGCCATGCAGCAGAAACGGCAAGCCCAGCATGGCCGCCGTCCAGGCCACCCCCGGGGCCACTGGCCTCCCATGGATGATGCCCATCGGACCTGGCCGTTCCCAGAGTTCTTCACAGAAGGGTGAGTGTTAGATATGGTGGGTAAGCCAAATGTGGGACCTGGGTTTCCCTTCAGAGGCCCTGCCGAAAGGCCGCCTCCTCACTCCTTCTGCATTTTTGTTAGGCAGTTCTACTCCAGGCCCCAACGTGGAGTCAGAGTGTGGTGGCTAGGTTACCAGGAGATACGATGTGTGCCTGTGAATACACGTTTGGAGTAAATTCATGACTTCTTTGCCCCAGAAAAAGAGCTCACTTGATGGTGTTTGTTAGGTAGTGGCCTGTTTCCCACCATCTGTGTTCTGCCATGTGCAAGGCTGCACGGTTTGGAGAATTTTGTCAGCCTTCTGTAAGCCAAAGGTATGGTCCTTATTTCAGTGTGTCGCGAGAACTATGGGTCTGGATCTCCCAGTGCCACCTGTGGATGTACACAGCCCACACTGCTGCCTCTCATGTAATGACCCTCTCACTGTTTTAGTTTTCTCTAAAATGAATTTCATATTAAAACGCCAGGCTTCTGAGAAGAATAAAGGAAAATGGTGGGTATGTATTACTTTTAAAATAAGAGAAAGTAAGGAAACCTCACATTTTTTTTTAAAGATTTATTTATTTTTATTACAAAGTCAGATATACAGAGAGGAGGAAAGACAGAGAGGAAGATCTTCCGTCCGATGATTCACTCCCCAAGTGAGCGCAATGGCCGGTGCTACGCTGATCCGAAGTCGGGAACCAGGAACCTTTTCCAGGTCTCCCATGCGGGTGCAGGGTCCCAAAGCTTTGGGCCATCCTTGACTGCTTTCCCAGGCCACAGGCAGGGAGCTGGATGGGAAGTGGAGCTGCCGGAATTAGAACCAGCGTCCTGGTGCATTCAAGGCAAGGACTTTAGCCGCTAGGCCACGCCAACGGGCCTAAAACCTCACATTTTTAAGAGGGAGACACCTGAGATCACTCTGTGGTTGTGAGATGAGGGCGGGGCGTCACTGCCCCGTGTGGCCTTGGTGGAGTTGGCTGCAGTAGATCCAGTACTGCCTTTTCTTTGGCTTTCAGGGACAGCCTGCACAGCGGCTGGGCTGGTGCTCAGGGAGACTCCGCCAGCTCGAGCGACGAGGCATCCTCGGCCAATGGGGACAGCTTGTTCTCCATGTTTTCAGGTCCTGACCTTGTGGCTGCTGTCAAGCAGAGAAGGTATGAACAGATATGTTTTAAACTATTTCCATTCTAAAATGCCTGCCATAGCCAGGGCAGGGCCAGGCAGGAGCCAGGAACCCGTCCGGGTCTCCCAAATGGGGGGCTGGGACTTTGTGCCATTATCTATCTTCTAAGGTGTGCTTTACCAGGGAGCTGGAGCCAAAGCCGAGCCAGGCCTTGAACTGCCATGCCCAGTGTCTGCCCCGTGGAGGGATTGTTAAGCCAAGAAAAGGAGCCAGGGACATGTGACTAGAACACACTGTTTACTCCTCTGAATGTCAGCAGCCTCATCCCTTCCAGTGTACCTTGGATGCGAGAGGTGGAGGGACGCTTAGCACTGTCTGGCTGAAAGCCTCTAGACCCCTTCAGGAGGAAGAGCTGGCACCACACAGACTTATAGCTAGGTAACTCAGTGTTGGGTTGAATTTTTGCCAACAGAGCAGTGTCCTGGTAATCAAAAGTATTATTTTATGGTGTCTGAGGGCGGATTTGGGAGACAGGCTCTGCTGGTACTGGCCTTGCCTTGGAGCAACAGGCCAAGACAGCAGATTCTGAACTCAGACAAGGATCTGGTCCTCTCTGACCCTCAGCTACCTTGCACAGGTGCTGCTAGAAACAATAAAATGGGCTTTGAAATGAGAAGAGATTAATTTAAAAAAAAAATGGAGATACTGCTGTGTCTATGGAAAAACAGAACTTAGAGGTGGCAAGCAGATTATGTGGCAGATGTGGAGTGCAGGCAGGTGCCTCTGTGCCCCCAAAGTTAGGCTGTAGAGCTGAAGGGCTTTAGTGGATAAGCAGTAGGGAGTGCAGGGCTGAAGACAGACGCCATAGTAGGACACACTATGGGACTGTGATGGTGGTGACCACAAACAGCGTGAATTAAGCTCTTGCTGTACATTTTGTCAATTAACGCTCACAACCACTATATTAATCATTTGTTAGGGCTACTGTAACAAATATTTTTTAGCCCGGAGGGCTTAAACAGTAAAAATGTATTTTCTCACAGTGCTATGAGATCAAGATATTGATAAGACTGGTTTCTCCTGCAGTTCCTTTCAAGGCCTTATGGACATCCATCTTATGTCCCACGTGCTCATCCTTGTGTGTGAGTCTTGGTAGATTAGAATCTAGCCAAGTGTGCTTAAATGTAATTACCTGGGTAAATAGTCACAATCTAGGAGATAGGCGTTTAGAGACAAACAAAGTCCATGTCCATTTGGAGTTTGCATTCCAGTGAGGGAAGGCAGATAAGCAGGAGTGTCAGGTTGGATCCCATCCATGAATGAAAGTCAGGTGGGGTGGGAGAGGATAGGCCGAGTGGCAGTCATTGTGGCTTTGGATGAGCAGGGCTGAGCGAGGCAAGGGAGCATGTGGTAGGGAAGGGGCAGGGGATAGTGTGGGAGGGCAGGGTACAGTGCGCTGAGGGGCGCACTGGAGGCCAGGATGCAGTTTGATTTCCATTGTAGACTGCAGCCAAGCAGACATCTCAGAAGTCCCCACACACCACCTCTGCAGACATCCATCTGTATGCGGGGATCCCAGCCCTGTTCTTGCACTTGGTGCCTTTTCCATGCATTGTTGCCACACAAACCTGTTGGTATTATTAGTAAAATCAGAAGACTTTTGCCTGTAAGTCACATCCACAGCACATACTGAACCCTCAGTCACTGAGTTGGTGAACAGAAAGCCAGACCAGGTGGACTCAGTGAGCTGGTGCCTATTGCCACCTGCTGATCCCACATCCTCCAGAACATGGAGACCCAGGCTATCCCACTGCCTCCCCCCCACCCCAACTGGAGCCAGACCTGGAGATAAGGGAGCAGGCAGCAAGTACATACGTGCCTGTAGAGAATCCAGCCAAGACGCAAGAGGGTCATTGCTCTGAGCTCTTGGTTCTTTCAGGAAGCACAGCAGTGGCGAGCAGGAGACCAGCACGCTGCCCTCACCACCTCTCCTCGCTACCGTGGAGGACATGAACCAGGTACTGGGGCTGCAGAACTACAGGGCTGTGTGTGGAAGGGGGCCTTGAAGGCTGGACGAGCTTCTCCCTGGTGAATAGCTTTGTATTGTTGTGGTTGTATCTGAATGAACAGCCACCTGGGCTAACACAGAGCCGCATGGAGGGGAATCTCTGGGGCTGCCCTGTCCAGTGTGATAGCCACTGGCTGTAGGTGGCTGTTTCAATTAAGTACAAATTAAGTTTCAGTTCCTCAGCTGTACTGAGGCAGGGCAGATGGCTGCCATATTGGACAGTGTAAGTTCGACCACTGCTGTCCTCACAAATTTTGTTGGACAGGACTGGGTCCTCACCTTGCCTCCTAGCTAGGGCCAAAGACCCAGGGAGGTGGGGAAAGCTGATAAGCCAGATATGCCTCTAAAAACCCTTTTCTGTGTCTCAGGAAAACAAAACCAAAACGTGGCCACCCAAAGCACCTTGGCAGCACCCCTCCCCACTGCCCAGCACACTGCCCAGCCCAAGCACGCCACTCTATGCAGTCACCAGCCCCGGCAGCCAGTGGAACGACACCATGCAGATGCTGCAGTCACCGGTGTGGGCTGCCACCAGCGACTGCAGTGGCGCCTCCTTCAGCTACGTGCAGACTCCTCCGCAGCCTCCACCCCCACCAGCACACAAGGTGGCACCCAAGGGCTTCAAGGCCTTCCCTGGGAAGGCTGAGCGCAGGCCGGCTTACTTGCCCCAGTACTGACCAGGACCAGCCTGCCTGCCTCCCCGGGCTGTTGGGGTGAGAGTACCCACCCTAGGGCCTACTGGCTGGCACCAGCCACCCACAGGACCAGGGCACCCCTGTATCACAGAAGAGGCTTCTCGGGGATGGGGGTGGTTGGCAGCTCCAGACCTTGGAAACCTGGATCCTCAGGCTTGGGAGGCATCAGTCCCCTGGCAAGCCAGTCACCCCGGCTTCTGAGCCTTGGGGGAGACGAGGGAGACGCTGTGTGCTCACCAAGACCTCAGGCGATTCTGACAAGCAGGCGAGGCCTCCCTCAGAGGTTTGTAAGCCAGTCCAGCTGTGTTGGAAGCACCAGGACTGCAAGCGGAGAGCAAACTGACCATCTTCTGAAACCCTCTATTCTTTTTGACATGTTGTGGTGACCATACCAATCACTGTATTTTCTAGCTACTTTTCCCTTAGGTTTTTAGTCAAAACTTCTCCTGCCAACTAAAATGCATTGAATAATTTAAGATAACACAAAACACTGGCTGGAGGGTTGTCTGACACTATCTTCACTTCTGCTTCCACACCAAGGGCAGGGCTGAGAATCGCTGTGACCAGGCACGGTCAGCAGGGCTTTCCCTGGGTGGGCAGCTCTTCATCATGCTAGGGGTGTAGCCTTCACCTGATTGACAAAAAAAAAATAAGGATGGGAAAACTGACATGGGAGGCGTTTGCTGTTGTTCCTGGAGGTGAGGCAGCTGGCTGCGCCCAGAGCCTGCACACCCTGCCAGAGGTGCTGACACAGGCCTCCCAGTGAGCACAGAGCAGGACTGCGCAGATGCCGCACAGCCGGCCAGGTGCAGGCACGTCTCGGGGCGGGCTCAGTGCAGACAGGAAGGGCTGTAAGACAAGGAAAGCCTCCTCCTCCTCTTCACTTAACATGTGCCATTAATAGCTGACATCCTGTGGATTGAGGGAAATTTCCAGCCAGAATGGATCCAGACAAATTGAATGGTGCTTAAATTGAGAAATAATCATAAATCTCTCTATATAGAGTAGACAGCCCATTGTATATTAATTGAGGTTACAAAAAGTCCTTTATATAAAACTTATTTAAATTTTTCATATTTCATCTTTGAAAAAGTCTAATTGAGAAAAATCCATAATATTTTCTTGTATGAAAGTTTGACAGTATTAATATTTTTTTTATATTTTCTTAAATCATTAAACCATTTTAATATATGTTAACTACTAATAAATGGTTTATTCTTTCTAACTCCATATAAGCTTTTCCAGAAAAGATTGTAATAACACATTTATGTTCTCATTTTTCTACGGATATAAGTAAATTTATATTTAAAAATACCAAAAGAATAAATCTATCTATCTATATGTATGTATGTATGTACACACACACACAAACACACACACTAATTGTAGAGGACCCAGAAGGGGTCTGGGCCCAGCCACCTGAACCTTTAGGACTGTGTTGTGTTTTGGGGGCGTGGGGATGCCGCCGCTGCCTGTCCCTGCGACCCTGGCCCGTGGGTTCCGAATGTTCGCCTCACCATGTTTACAGAGAACTCTTGTACATAGAATCTTTCAGGCACGTGCGTTGCAGCAGCCTGGCGTGGCTCTTGTCTGTGTTAGCTGTCACAGTGTGTGCAGTCTGTTCAAGTTGTTTGTGGCCGTTTGACTTGTAAGATAGCTTTTTTCTTCAGTAATGTGTCCACAGTACCCTGTATCTCAAGTTCTGTTATACTGAAGTACTCTTGTTTTCTTAGTGCCTCCCCAAAGACCTCACCCTGGACAGAAGTCAGTCCTTGCTGCCCCACTGCAGGTGACACTGCTAATTGTCACTTTCCAGTTTGTTTTCTCTCTTATGGAAGACATTTTGTAATTGCATCTCCATGGGCTGTGAGACTGTGTGAAGTTATTGGTGTGGTCTCCATGTAGGTGCTGTGTTCCCAGCGCCACCTTGCTCTGAACACTGGTAATTCCAGGTGCTGCGCTCGGCAGAGGGGTCTCGCCAAAGCGCCTGTGTGTGCGTGTGTGTGTGTCCTCGGCATGGCCGGGCCTGGCTGCCTTGCTTGGACATCCACAGGACACTGCGTGAATAGTTAACAACGCTTCCAAACTGGAACTCTACATTTTGTATCTTTCAAAGCTCCTATAAGTAAAAATAACATTGGCTTTATTAAAAGTATACGTTTAATAATAGTACGTTGCATCTTTGTCTAAAATGAACTGCAACAGACACCACTTGGAACCCCTCGCTAACTCTTTGCAAAGCTGCTCCACATTTCTGGGACCTGCTTACGGGAAGGATCACTGGGATTATTAGGAAGTGCTGGAAGGTCAGGAAGCCTGCCAGCCAACCATAGCTTCCCTGAGGCCACAGCTGGTTTAGGCTTCTGCCCTAGTGAAGGTATTGTGGTGCCCAGGAGGCCATCTCTAGAAGGACACAGACTGTGTTGACACAATCTGAGTGACCATTCACAGGACCAGCAAGTGAAGTCCCACCCAGGCTTCTTGGTGCAGAGATGCCCACACTGAACGCAGGCAGCCAGTCCCACAGACCTCCAGGTACACCTGTGGACAAGGTGGCATGGTGACAGCCACAACACAAAGGTATCTAGGGAGTGTGTGCTGCGGTTGGTATTAAAAGCTAGCGGGAGAAAAGTCCAATCTTTTCCTGTTTTGCACATGTACTTGGTGTGTACCCGGGCTACCAGTGCACAGCAGGGGAGGAGCCAGGAGCACTGGCTCGGTTCCCAGGAAGCAGGGGACAAGAGCAGAACTGACGTCACACCTGGAGTTCCTGGGAAGTGTTGGGGCAGTGGCCTGTCAGAGATGGAGGGGGTGCTTCTTAGGCTTTATGATCCTCCTTTCTTCCCTGAGGACTCCTTGGTGAGTGGGAACTGTAACAAAAATGTCACATGCCACCCGTGGGGTTATGAAGGACAGCCCCAGGTGTGACCTGTTTCCTGATAGGAGACACAGCCCGGCCCACCCCATACCCTATTTAGGATGCACATTCGGGTGCTGCTGCCTTGACCAGTCCAGACTATTAGGGGTTCCTTTACCTGTGATTGATGGCAGGCTCCTTGGTCATACCTAGCTTCGTCCATCACCACCCCATGTCTTGAGCTAACCAGTGGGCTAGAATTTCCACAGGGTTTGGCCCACACATCCCTCACAGAATCTGCCCCCGGTTATGGTTCTTGTGTGCTAGTTAGTGTAATGGCCCTGCTTAGTGTGACCCTTCTCCTGATCCATCATCATGTCAGGTAACATGATAGATCTCTGCAGGACAAGCCCTGAGCCATAGCTTTTGCATGAACTGGTGTTTGGTGCTTAGCATTGTTAAGTGATTTAAGTTCTTCAGAGGAAGAGTTACTGTCATTGGGAATCTTTAGGATTGATTCACATCCCAGAAGTACTGTGGGTTCAACCTGGACCGAGCTACCTAAGCAGTGATTCAAAGAACCGAAACCCCAGAGCTCCCCGGCTAGCAGCCAGCAGGTGGAGCTGAGCGCCAAATGGCACACTGGCCACCTGTGACAGCTCACCACGTGCACATGGTAGCTGGCGTCTGGGTTCTGGGCATGAGACGCTCCGTCCTGAGACCCACCAAGATTTATTTTTATTGGAAAGGCAGATATACAGAGAGGAGGAGAGAAACAGAAGATGATCTTCTGGCCTGCAACAGCGAGCTCCTCTGATCCGAAGCCAGGAGCCAGGAGGTTCTTGTAGGTCTCCCATGCAGGTGCAGGGTCCCAAGGCTTTGGGCCGTCCTGGACTGCTTTCCCAGGCCACAAGCAGGGAGCTGGATGGGAAGTGGAGCTGCTGGAATTAGAACCAGCGACCATATGGGATCCTGGCATGTTCAAGGCAAGGATTTTAACCACTATGGTATTGCGCCGGGCCCAAGACATTCTTGACTCTTCCTTTCTTTACTCTCCTGAAGTTCATCAGCCAGTACTGACACCTTGAACTCACTTGAATCCTATGTTCTTGCATCTTTCCATTGCTATCTACTGGATCCTCAACACACACACACACACATATGCACACTCCTACTGAACTAAACCGGCTTGTAACAAGAAATCAAAGGGTTAACATGAGGACTGCATGTATCCCTTTAATAGGCATAGTTTCCTATTCCCATGGGAATCACACTTATGTACTCTGGGGAACACTGGACGGAACAGCTGAGGATGACCCTACACTTGATCTTAGCCAAAAGGCCGAGAAGCGATGAGGATGACGCTACAAACGCTACAAAGGCAAAGAAACCTCGGAGCGCGTTCCTACCAGCGTGGGGTCCCGGCCCCACGTGCTATCCTGTTCGCGCATGCGCAAGCCGCCTTGCACCCCTCACACCTCCGAGCAGGCGCACTAGCGCTAGCCGCCTCCATCCCGGACGTGCCGGCGCGGGCGTTTGCCGCGACCCCGAGACATGCGCACCTGCGCGCGCCCCGCCCAGCCCGGACGTGCCGGCCCGCACGCAGGCGCGCTCCCCTCGGCCGAGCCCGCCTTCCCCGCGCGGAGGCGGGGCTGTGGGCGCCGCGCTAGGCAGCGGGGCTGGCCACGTGACTCAGCATCCCCGAGCGGCTCTGAGGACGTCCCCGGATCCCATGCCCTTGACCCGCCCTTCCCCTGGTCCCCGCCTGGGGAGCTTGCCGACCCCGGATCGTGCCGTACCCCTGACAGGCTGCCAGCCTTTCCCCATGCCCGAGCCTCTTCTCGGGCGCAGGTCCCACTGCAAGCCGCCGAGACGACTCGGCTGCCTGCATGTCCCCAGCCCCGACTGTGCACCTGTTGCTTCTTGGGTGCCCCCGATCTTGCGGGGAGCACCTGACGGTTCCCGAAGTTGGGCTTTCTGAGTCAGGTCTTGCTATGGCGGCCATGCGGCTGTGACGCTCCCCGCATGGCCGTGCTGGGGCCCCCAAGCGCTCTGGGCTTGATGTTGCGCGGTGTGCAGGGTGTGGCACCTTTGCCGGCGGTCTGCCCTGCGGTGAGCTTAAAGTGTTTAGAAAACGTTGTGACATGGATGATCTTCCAAGCCAAGAGCCCCTGCACCAGGATTTCAACCAAAGACGTCACCCTTGTGCTCCGGAGGTGGATCACCCATCACCCTCCCGTGACTTTGCATATTCTCTCTCTCGGGTTTATTTATTTGAAAGACATAGCTACAGAGACAGATCCACTGGTTCACTCCCCAAAAGGTCACGAGAGCCAGGGCTGGACCCGACAAAAGCCAAGAGTCAAAAACTTCATCCAGTCTCCCTGTACGCAGGGGCTCAAGTACACAGACCATCCTGCACTGCTTTCCAAGGGAGCTGGATCGGAAGCGCAGCATCCAGGACAAGGACACGCTACCCCCATGGCATGCTGGCTTTGCATGCAGTGCCTAACTTGATACATCAAAATGCTGGCCCCCATAAAACTTGCTTTTTTTGTTCGTTTGTTTGTTAAGAGTT